AAATGTGGTGAGGCTGCTGTCATAAGATCAGGAAAGGATAGGCAGTGCTGTTCCCCAATGGATACGCATTATTTTAACATAGTAATACTTATAATGGAGCTAAGCAAGACATCAAAGAATTAACTGTTATAATGTGAATCCTTACGTGAATAATTTTCAAGTCATTACAGCAGCTAAATCACATCATGTTCACACATTTTGACAAGAATGGCAAGGTGTGCTTGCCGCCCCCCATTTCTGTCCTCTGGGCAACAGGGCTGTGCATGTGGCAGGTTTGAGACTCTGACATTTCTATTAAGTGGCTCCATGAAAGGTTGTTTGGCAATTTCAAAGAACATGGTGAAATAGCTGCCACTTTTTTGACAGCAAAGGGAAATGAGTTAAAGCTGCAAAATAAAGATTATTAAAAAAGGGCAGTAAACTGACAAAAACAATTGCCAGCTCTAAATGTATTAATAATATTTTTCCTTAGTAATATAGTAATACTGAATACTCATTACTCTTATTTGAATAATGAGTATTTATATTTTTCCTCACGGGTGAACCACAACCAGGTGCTACAGGCCAAGCCTGGATTAAACTTGCCATTATTCATGAGATGAATGCTCTCCAAAGCTGCACCTGACAGAATGGGGTTTAAGCTTAGCAAAAGCTGCTGCATCACACAAAACCCATTATTAACAAACACACTGGAAAAGTCAGTGATCTCATAGATCAGCCCAGTTATATTTGATACAAAAATAACGCTCTATCAGCACCATTTGGCTCCAGTTTGTTTGGAAAAACTTGTATGTTGCTCAGGGTGTTATCACCTCCCAAATTACCCGAGCCTCTAACAAGGTAGCGGTCAGCCGATAGTGCTAAAGCTTTTTTTCCTCTCTAATGATAGCGAGTCCAACAAGGCTACTAGCATTGTTCCACAGGTGAGGAATTAGTGTCTTGCACTGCCATCCAGGCTAATGACTATCTAAATCCTTGTGTTGAAAGCTGTATGTGGGGGGAGAGATCCTCTGTGTGAGGCTGTACTCTGTGGTAGAAAGGTGTCCGGTGCATGCTGTGAAAGGCACACTGGCAGCCAACATATCATATCTCTTTCTCCTGAACCCCTGCTTACAGTGTTGGCATTTAGTGAACCCCGGGACCAACAAAGGGATTTTTCATCACGGCCTTTAAACCAGACCTCTAGTGCTTTTTTTTATACAAACTTGACCCTTATTACACTTTTTATTCCCCAGTTTGAAAACTAAGCCTGTGGTAGATATCATGACTTCCTAGATGTTTGCAGAGGAACTGGCTTCATTACGCGATAGCATTTATCAACATAAATTTTTCCTTTGATGTACACAACAAGTGTGTCAATCACAATCTAACCCTCCTTTCCCTCCACATCAAAGTTGCTTTGAGTTAGCAGTTATTCCTCCGCGTGAATAATGGATCAAAGATAGAAAGACAACTGATGCACACTCCTTGGGAGAACATCTACACAGAGAGGAAAGGCTGTTTGATTTTTATTATCCACAAAAACAAACACGTCTGGTGCCCTTTAGTGAGAGCCTGAGGAACAGCAGTCCCCCTAGGAAACATGACATAAATTCTTCTCTACAATGCGCATGACTACTTGTAGAAGTCATTGCAGGTAAAGCTGACATCTTTTCCCCGATCCCAGCGAGCCTTTCGAGAAGATTTATTGTCTCTGTGTGTGTTGATGCCAGGAAAAAATGACATCTTTGGAGAAATGATCCACCTCTCTGCCAAGCCTGGGAAGTCCAATGCTGATGTGCGAGCTCTGAGTTACTGTGACCTGAGCACCATTCAGAGAGAAGATCTGCTGGAGGTGATAGACATGTACCCAGAGTTTGCTGACTACTTCTTCAACAACCTGGAGCTTACCTTCAACCTCAGAGATGAGTCTGCAAAGGTAGACGATGATGTAGACCTACATGTTAAGGTAGTTAATGCTTTTTTAACAAGTGTGGCTGCCCGATCCTGTCCAACAGAGATGAGAAGGAAACTTGTTAGCTACTTTCATCATCAGTTCTGGGGGATATTCTGTGTTTAATTCAGAATTTTATTGATTAAGACTTTCTACAAACAAGTTTTAACATATTTTGGATGCAGTCTAATGAAGTATGCAATATGGTGACTCATATGTACATCACACCTATAAGCATGTGTGAGACATACATGGATATGGTCCATGTATGTACATATATAGCAACAACAAGCATGATTTTCAGATAACTTAGCTAATGTTAGCAAAAATGTTAAAGTTAAAAAAAAAGTATAATGTTACAATAGCTAATACTGAGAAGTAAGGAACTTTTAAACAAAAGAAAATGTAATAATCCATCGTAACATTTAATTTTTTCCAGACCTGGTAGTTAGAAGCTAACAAGTGAGACATCCTGTTTCCCTCTCATCTCTGTTGAGAGTGCCCAATACACAGAACGGATCGGGCAGCAACAACAAGTATTCACACTGACTATGGGGATTCACATAAATACTCAAAATTCGATAAGATTGTATTAATCTTATAGCAATGAGTAATATTGACCACTAATTGTTTTAACGAATCAATTCTAATGCTCACATTGCTGCAGCCTTCAAGTTCCCAAGATTGTGATTCAGATGGTGAGGGCACTAAGAGCACTAAAAGAAGGATCTCTTTCACACCAGATGTATCTAAAGGTAAACTAATCTGCACAGGTCCAGTACAGCCTCTTTCCACATGCTTTGTGGTTACAAATTTGTTCTTTGTTATTGTTCACTGAGTGGTGTTCCCTGAGGACATCTATTCCATACGGAATACAGTACAGTGTTCCACTGACTCCTGTTGATTGCCGTTCTACAGGGGAAAACAAGGAAGTGGGGAGAGACGTGGATAGGGAGAGGGAGTCTAACTCGTGCCTAAAGAGATCTACAGAAGTCCTGGGTACCTCTCCACCCAATGCCGCAGTCCTGGACTCAAATTTTGTTGTCAGAGGCAATGTGGAGAGAAGACCATCTTTTGAGGGTAATATATTTTCTTTAACTAATTAATTATTTTGTGATATTCTTTACTGGTTTGACAAGACCTCTTAAGTAAAGCATAATTGGTGGATCATGTCCTCGTGTATTGCTGCAATAGCAACTCCTGTTGGATGGTTGGAGCAAATGTGTGGAGTGGGTTTAGTAAGAGATTCATGAGGTTAAAGGCATATCTTACTCCAAAACAGACAATTATATTCTCCCTCAACAGGTCAAGGTAAATGGTTGAATTACACTGTTCCCATTACTAAGTAATCAACCAGGAATGTGCCCTTGCATAGACAAAGCTGTGGTCTCATGGAAATGAATGAGAAAGATGCTTTTTCACATAGTTGGTCTGACAAGTACCCCAGTACTGGGACATTAGCCATTCAGAAGAGGGAGAAAAAAATTAAACATTTAATGGTTGAGTTGAATCACATCAACAGCTTAATATAATTATCATCCAATTATTATACACAGTCAATACAAGTCAAGCATTACAAGCTTGACAAAGGCAATTTTTATTGCATGGCTATTGAAATGCATAGCATCATATTTTTTGTGTCCACCCTTTTACATATCAACAACAGCCAATCCACTGACCTATTTTATACAATAAAGACACAACTATGACACAGGGGTCAGACAGAGATGTGATTCAACTCTCTTGTAATTTATGAGGTCTTTGCTGTGGCAGTTTCATGTGTCTAATATTCACAGCTGTATAAGGGGGGTCAAGCTTTAAATCTAATACATAGATCTGCAATAATAAATAGAGTATCTACCTTAAGCAGTATGCTTGCTATCAATCTGCAAACTCAGTTGTTCCAATGAAACAGAAGTGAGTCTGGGGAGTCTGGCAGAGATCTAAAATACACTACAATAACTGACTATGATAACTTGATATAGAAAGGATTTTGTGTGGGCATAGCACATCCCACTGACAAGACTGGCCAGCCAAGTAGTACAAGACAGACAGTTGGAGATATTGAGGGAAATAACTGAGTGACACTGAAGCTGTTGTTAATCTCTACTGGTGAAAGGATAGAGAAAATAAGGTGGCATGAGGGCAGAGGTAAGTGCCATCGTGGTGAAGGCACACACAACCTATCTATATGACACATCACATCACAGTAGTGCAAACCCACCTGCTGGACCAGATAGTGTAATCAGAGAACTAACCATCTCTGTGTTTAAAATCACAAAAGAGGCTCCATACTTATCACTGAACTGCCAGCTGAGCACTAACATGTGTCCAGAAGAGATAACAGCAAGGTTAGTTTGCTACTGGAAAACACTGCATTAACAATTCTCCCAGCACAAGGGCGTGATGAATTACAACAAAGAACCTACACGCAGCTCTCCTGTTGAGATTAATTACATTCTATTTTAGTGGGGTGTTTTTTTGTGCAGTGATGACGTTGTTCTGACCCACATGTGAGGATGTAAAGCATGCGTGTTGGTTTGGCTCTCCAGATCTGTGCTGTGATAAATGGGCCTGTAAGAAGCCTACGGACTTCCTGGATGAGTCAGCACAGTTCCAGCAGCTGAGAGAGGACGATAATTCAGCCAGCGAAATCACGTATGGAGAGGTGGAACAGCGCTTAGGTCAACTTCAAGAGCATTTGAACAGGTATTTCCAGAGTCAGCACACAGATGGTTGATCCTCATTTTAGTGTTATAAACTACAAATTAACCCAGAATGTGATTTCTACCACTTTAAACCAATATATGATGAAAGTAATTCTGTTCAAAGGCGTATAAAGTGTTTGACTTTTTTTCTTTATCATAGCTTTATCATCATTTGAGTCTGACAACTCATTATTTGAAATTGCATCATACTGGGTTTGTCTTTGATGCCCACTTGCTACCCTTGCCGTTAGGACACAGTGTAACACTTTACCAGACACAGGATAATTGTATACAGATAAAGAAAGAGCACAGTGCTTAGACATTAATACATGACTAATAATTCAATAATATAATAATAATAATTTAACACAGGAAGCAGTTTACCACTTTTCATCACGGCCAGTATTGTATTTTTATCTACATGTATTGAAGTAAATAATCTTAATGCTTCTTTCACTACTTTTTGTCTGACAAAGTAGCCTACTGGTGCGTAATCGGATAAAACAGTAGAAAGTTTGACTTTATTGATTCTTTATTTTTACAACTCTATTTTTGTTAAAAAACAAAACATGTTGACTGTTCTCAAGGACTAAAACTTTTTTCTCAAAATCAATGTTTTACTGAAGTGGGTGGTGCATTTGTTGTCTTTACCTGAATGGACACAAATAGATGCACCTGTATTGTGTAATAATGTTTTGTGAACTCCATCAACTACAACAGGGAGAGCCAGGAAGCACAGTTGACTCCATAAACCTGGAGTCTTGCACCTCTACTGTAGCCTGCTGTGATTTGACACAGTTCAGTTTGTGCATGGTTGTAATAATACAATGCATTATACTCTGACTGCCTGTCTTTGTTGTTAGTCATTCAAACCCACAGACAATTATTTCTAATTCAATGGGAAAATAAAAACATGGAGTTGCAACTGCATATTATTCAATTTATAAACAAAACACTATTTAAAGGTGTTAAAAAAGTAAAACTCTATCTTATAGCATTGTAATATAATAAAATATACAATGCCTATAAAAAGTAT